GCAGTGGGCATGGGCTCATGTTCGCCACACTCTTGCCCACGGTTGTTTGTTTCCCTGATTGTTAGAAATTTTAACCATCCTGCGGTGGGGATGGGGATGGCATCTCATCGTGTTTGGGATTTGCATGCCCTCATTGGGGGCCCTGGTGGGGTCATGGTTGTGAGTTTGACCACCAACTGCAAGGTCAGCAGTTTGAAACCACCAGCTGCTCCTTGGAAGAAAGAAGGGGCTTTCTACTCCCCAGCTTTCTGTATCTAAGAGTCACAGTCTTGGAAATGCACAGGGCAGTTCTACTCTGTCCTGTACGGTCGCTGTGGGCCGAGTCGACCTGGCGGCCTTGAGTTTGAGCGGAGCTCATGACGCTGAGCGTCCCCTGTGCTTGGTGGTCTTTGATCGTCCTCTTTGGTGGGATGCACTTCAAGTCCTGCTCATTTTACCATCAGGTTGTTTGTTGCTGTTGAAGTTTTGTCTGTTTTGTTGGTTCTTAGAGATTTGTCAAGATACATGGTTTCCCAAGATACTCTCGGCAGCTGTGTGTGTGGTTTTACTTCCGGGCAGTCTTGTTAGGGACTCTTCATGGTGAACTAGGGGCAGGTTCAACGAGCAGACCAGTTCTCCATAACATTTCTTGGGTTCTGTGTCAGGATTGCAGTCCCCACAAGGAAACACTGCGCGTCCCCCTTCTCCGTGAGCTTCCCTTTCCACGCCTTCCTTCCTCGCCCTTCCGCCCTTTGTCCCGGGGTCCACGCGGCCCTTCTCACCCCAGATGGTCTCTGATTCTTAGGTGTGCGCGCTCACTGGGAGATGGCTCTCTGATAGACCCGCCTTTCAGTCCTGTTGTTACCCACGTCCAGACCTAGCAGTGATGACGGGCTGCTGGCTCAGGGTCCCACTGCTCTCCATCCATCCGACGGACCGGGAAGCTGGGTCTCGTTCAGGATTTTGAGTTTTGTCCCACCTTTTCCTCCCACTCTATCCAGAACCTCCCATTGGGATTCCCTTCAGGCTAGTTCGCAGTGGTAGCCGGGTGCCACCTGTCTCTTCTTTTGAAAGAGAAAACTTCTCATCTTTCTGAGTTCTCACTAGTTTATTTTGCCTTTTGGTTGTTTATGTTGTTACATTGTTGTTGGGTACCGTTGAGTCGGGTTCTGACTCTTAGCGCCTGTTTGCGCGACAGAAGGAAGCACTGCCGAGTGCCGCACCGTGCTCACAGTGGTTAGGTGTGAGCCCGTGGCTGCGGTCACTGGGGCAGTCCGTCTTGCCCGCTGCCCCAGCTCTTTCTTCTAAAGCTAAGAGTGATGCTTTTACTCTGCACGGTCAGGCCCTCCCGGCATTTTGCACTTTTTCCTGTATATCGTGTAATGCATGAATCCTGTTTCATTTTTCTGCAGAATTCCCCAGCAGTGTTCATGGAAAGCTGCTTTCCCCCATCAGATGGACTCAACACCCTTGTCCAAAACCACTTGATGGACGCTCACTTCTGTTCCACTGGGCTGGGCTGGTCATTCATTAGATGGGTGCTTTGATCACTGAGTTGTACAGCCCAAAGCCCAGGCTCATAGCCACCCTGTGGGACAGTCACACTATCCCATGGGGCCTGGTTCTCAGCCTTCCTCATGCTGCAACCCTTTCATACAGTTCCTCATGTGGTGGTGACCCCACCCCCAACCATAAAATTATTTTCGTTGCTACTTCATACCTGTAATTTTGCTACTGCTAAGAATCGGGCGACCCCTGTGAAAGGGTCGTTCGACCCCCAAAGGCGTCGAGACCCACAGGTTGAGAACCGCTGCCATAGGGTTTCTGTGGCTGTAGATCTTTATTGTTTTTAAAAGTTGTTTGTTGGCTATTTATTCTCGAATCTCCATTTTGATGGAGTCTATGGAAGCAGACTTTCTCATCTTCCTCTCGCAGAGCGGCTGCTGGGTTTGAACCACTTCTGTGTGTGCCTTCCTCTTCCTCCTCCTCCTCCTCCTTGTCGGTATTGGCTTAGCTGGTTAGGATCACAAAGTGGAGGATTGCTTGTCTGTGTCTGTAAAGAGGCTGCTGGAATTTGATCCGGCTCACACTGGCTCTGGGGAACGCTCTGGGTAGCCCTGACTCCTTGACCACAGTAAGTCTGTCAGCTCAGGCGCAGGGAGGCATATGCTGCCCTTAGCATTTGTGTTACATCAGGCCTCCACACCCTGCATGGATTCAGGGCCAGGCATTTTATTCTCTCGGTGGATATTGAAAGTGGAACTGTCTCCCTGATGTCCTTTGTGATTCCTCGTTCTACAGAAGTTCAAGTCGCTCTGCTTGTTGACAGTGTACCCTACAACTTTGCTACATTCCTCCGCTAGGTCTTGAAGTCGTTTTCTTGTGGACTCTGGGATTTTCTAGAGAGGAGCATATCGTTCCTGAATCGAGGTGATTTTACCCGGTTTCCATTCTGTTGGCGTTAGGTAGCATTGAGACGGTGATGACTCACTGACCCTGTGTACAACAGAAAGAAACCCCAGCTGGTCCTGCCCCGTCCTCACAGGGTTCAGTACTCGAGCCCGTGGTGGCCACTGTATTGAGGGCCTTCCGCTTCTTGGCTGCCTCTCCGTGTCACCAAGCATGATGCCCTTCTCTAGAGACTGGTCTCTCCTGAGAGTATGTCCCAAGTATGCAGGCAGAGTCTTGCCATCCTTGCTCTAAGGAGCACCCACTCTTGCCTTCTTTCTTCTAAGACAGATTGGTTTGTCTTTTCATCAGTCCGTGGCACCCCAGTGTCCTCCAGCACCAGAGACCAAGTGCATCCTTTCTTAGTCTGTCTTCCTTAGTCCACCTCCCTCTTTCAAATGCATACGCGGCAGAGGAGATCGCCAGGGCTCGGGTCAGGCACGCCTTAGTCCTGAAGGTAACATCCTTGCTTTTCAATGCTCCAAAGAGGCCTTGTGCAGCAGATTCACCAGAAACCAAAAGATGTCTTGACTGCTGCTTTCGTGAGTATTGATATTGATCGCGATCCAAGAAGGACCAAATCCTTGACAACTTCAACCTTTTCTCCACTGATCATGGTGTTCCTGTTAGTCTCCTTGTGAGGATTTTGGTCTTGACATTGAGTTGTCATCCACAGTGAAAGCTGCGGTCCTTGATCTTCAGCAAGTACTTCACCTCCTTACTTTCCGCATGCAAGCGTGTGTCATCTGCATCTTGCAGGTTCCCCCAATCCTGACACCTCGCTCTACATAATCCAGCTTCCCTGATGATTTGCTCAGCATCTTAAGTCTGAATGAGCACAATGAAGTGTTCTGGAATTCCTATTCTTCTCGAGGTTATCCACAGTGTATCATGGTCCACAGAATCAAATGCCCTTGCAGAGTCAATGAAACACAAGTAAACATCTTTCTGGTATTCTCTGCTTTGAGCCAAGGTCTGTCGGACACCAGCAGTGATAACCCTCGTTCCACGTGCTCGCGATGCGGCCTGAACCTCTGGGTACCCTCTGTTTATTTCCTGTTGTCCTGCTGCTCAGGCTGAGACCCCTGATCCTGCAGTGAGGGTGGTGCAGACACTCCCCTGCTCGGCTGCTGACTGAAAGGTTACAGGGTCAAGTCCACCCCAGGGCACCTCAAGAGAAAGGCCTGAGAAACCAGCTTTGAAACCCCATGGAGCGCAGGGTCGTCTGCCTTAAGTTGGAGTCAACCCCAAGGGAACTGGCTAATGAGATATTCTTGGACCATCCTGGGGGACCCTCTCTTACCTTCTGCACTTCTTCCCCACCCAGATAGAGAACAATACTCAGAGGGTTGATGGTTGAGAGAGAGGACAGAAATAAAGTACGTATAATTCCCCCACCCCCCTTTAAAAAATCATGGTTTTACTGCCTTTCTCCCTTACGTCAAACCCTACCCCTAATCTCTTCGGACTCAGATGAACTTCTCTGTGCTGGGAAACAAGGTGGGGTCACTGCCAAGGAGTCCTGGGAGCATAGTGGTCCACTGCTAACCTGAAGATTGCAGCATTCCCGGGGGTGGGGGGTGGAGAAAGGTCTTGTGATCCATTTCTGTAGAGATTGCCATTTTTACTCAGATAAGTTGTGCTGTGTTTTTCTGGCCTGTTTCTAAGTATGCTGTGCTAATGCGTTACGTGTTGCTGCACACAATGAGTGAGTGTGGCGTGCTTATTCCTGAAAGACCTTGTGGGGAAGGCACAGTGGGCAGAGCACTCTCTTTGGTAAGCGTGTAGACTGGACGCCGTGGGCCTTCCGCTCTGTCAGAAGGGGCTGCTGTGGCCGGAAGGGACTCCACAGCCACAGGGTCACCTCGTCAGGACAGAGTGGGTCAGAGTCCCTGGGTCTTGTCTCTGACCATGACGTTTATTTAGCAGTTATTTGGTTTTGCTTTAGAAGTAGATCTAGAGCAGCAACAGGTGCCCAGTTCAGCGTTTCATGTAGTGGTGTGACCCCTCACAGTTAGAAGTGTGGTTTCCTATGGGACTCTTAGTGTGCTTCACGACCTTCCCCCTGTAGTGACCCATGCTTTGTGTTTCCGGGAAAGGAGCACACAGAGTGGGCTGGGGTCGGGGGAATGGCTGGCTGAGGGCTCTGTCAGGAACCCTGGTGGTGCAGCAGGCTGCTCCCCGCAAGGTCAGTAGTTCCAGCCCCCAGCTGCCATGGGAGGGGCTTCCACTCTGTCCTGTGGGGTCAGCGAGAGCTGAGTCGAGTTAACTTGCAGGCAGTGGTTGGTTGGGCTGAGTTAAGTGCAGGGAGTTTCAGACAGCACGGCATACTCAGTGAAGTGCACACCTGGCTAAGGACAGGCACCATTTGGGCATTGGTGATGAGCATTTTAAAAAGCTGCCTACACAGGAGCTGGATTTCAGCGTGATGACGTGATGTCTGGAATCAGAATGCTCATCGAGGGCACTGGGCCTCAGCCCAGTTCTACACATGAGAGAGCCAGGAAATGCCCCCAGCGGCCTTGCCCGCGGGACTTGTGTAACCGGTGCCTCTGCGCTTCCTCTGTTGGCAGGAGTCTGCTTGGTGAGAGCCCTGAGGGCATCGTGTTCAGCACCGACGACTACTTCCGCTGCCAGGACGGGTATAGCTACAATGCGAATCAGCTTGGCGATGCCCACGACTGGAACCAGAGCCGAGGTGCGTTTGGGTGAGGTCTCGGGAACAGAGTGGGCTGGGAGGCCCCCACTAGGCAGCAGAAGGGCTTGCACAAGCTCCTTACCAGCTTGAGACCCTGTTTCTTCATCGCTCTGGAAATCCCATGCCCCGGTGTATGCAGAGTTAGCTAGTGGGGAGAGGAGGCTCTGCTACTTACTGTTTTTAAAATATTTCTTTCTATGGTTCTTGATTCAGAGAGCACCCATCTGCAGTATGGATGCTGTCCCCTAGTTCCCCATGGGGTGGGTGGGGGTGGGTCCTTGTGTCTTGGTATCACCTCAGGAGATGGGGCTACCAGGGCCTGACCTATAGAGCCGCAGGCCGTCCTTAATAAGGATTGCTCACCCCTTAAGCTCACGGGTGTGTGTTCACCTCCTGTCTGTCTGTCTGTCTCTGCTTTGGAAACCGACTTGTGTTTCAGCCAAAGAAGCGATCTCGCAGGGCCGGTCTCCAATTATAATAGACAACACGAACACGCAGGCCTGGGAGATGAGGCCCTACGTGGAGATGGTGCGTTTGCCCTGGGGAGGGGCACATGGTCTTTTTGTTTGTATGTTTTAATTTGATTTTTGACGGCTTTGCTTTGGGAACAGAAAAGCTTAAGTCTTTCCTGGACCTGAGGAGAGACGGGGAGGGTCCCGGGGAGCTTGAGCCTGTGCACTTATTATCTGTCATGTAAATTGTCCTTGGCCCAGCGTCTGCTGCGTCCTGAAACGTCGTCTGCCTGCCGCCCTTTCTTGATTTAAGACGTGTTTCTGGGCTTGTGTTTTTTCTCCTTCCCTGTAGGCCATAGGACAAGGATACAGAGTAGAATTTCATGAACCAAAAACTTGGTGGAAATTTGACCCTGAAGAATTAGAAAAGTAAGGCACCCACGTTTTTCACTGATCTCTCCTCTCTCCTCCCCCTTCCCCGCCCGGCCTGCCGGCTTTGTTTGTCCCCGTGTTGTCTCTGCCTGAGTGAGTCGGAGCTGTGTCCCTCCCAGGGATCCCTGATGACACAGAGGGTCACCACAGTTGGCATCCATCACCCCTACGTGGTTTCCCGATTGCCACCGGGGACCCAGAGACCTTGGAGGATAGTGAGACCGTCTCCCACAGGTTTCTCCTCCTCCGGGACCCGCGTTTCCCAGGAGTGCCTGGGCCTTTTCCTCTGTCCCAGCTTGGCTGCTGAAAGGTCCTTGGATTCCCCGTGTTTGGGAATGTTGATTCTTTCGGATTCTGTGAGAATAGCGAGGAAGACTTAGCATCAAGAGTTGGAATGGGGGGGGGGCAGTGTCAGACCCTCGGAAACCCATAGAGGTAGTTCTGCCCTGTCGGTGGGGTTGCTATGAGCCAGCACGGACTTGACGGCAGTGAGTTTGACTCGCTGGTTCTGTGAGGGCGAGTGTACAAATGGGCACCAGCCTGTCGGGCAGCGTCTCGTAATCAGACCTCTCCACCCTCCGCAGCAAGCCCTGCCAGCACAGTCCCAGGTAGCTCAGAAAGGTTCTCTGTGGCCTCGAACATTGGGACCCAAAGTGGCGATACCGGCCCCCCCCCTGAAACCTACACTTTATCCAAGGGCCTTGTTGGTATGTGCTGACACGCTGGGCTGCTAACCACAAGGTCAGCAGTTCGAAATCACCAGCCACTCGCAGGAGAAGGATGGGCTTTGTGTTCTCAAAGAGTCACGGTCTAGGACACTCACAAGGGCAGTTCCACCCTGACCTGTCCTGTGTCTGTGAGTGGGCATCGACCCGGTGACAGTGAGTTGAGTGAGTGACACTGTTCTGCATGAGGGCCTCAGTGCACACGTTTTCATTGTGGGGGGTGGGGTGCTGAGTAATTTTTCCCCTGGAGAGGCCACCTAAGTGTGGGAGGCTGTGGCTTGGTCTGCCTCAGGCCAGCTGGTGCTGCCCAGTGAGCCCGTCTCGTCAGCTGGCAGATGCCGGCTTCATGGCTGCCACACAGCAGAGAGTTTTGAGTGAGAGTCCACTGTGAGACCGGCCCGTCCACGCCTTTGCCTGGCCGCTGTGGTTGGTGCCATACCCTGCTGTGTGTACCCTCGGGTCTCTTCAGCTTCTGTTTCTCTCCTTCCCCTCCCTGTCGCACATCCAAGGACCTAATAGAGTGATGGTCTTGCAAAATAAAACATTTTTTAGACTTTTTTCTGAATAATAGTATGCATTGCATGATCAGTAAATCTCGGACTACAGTGTCAGATGTTTTATTATGGCCAGAGCAGCTGCTGCGTATTGTGAGGAAAAACACGTGAAGACAGTTGTCTGAGGGCCAAGCCAAGCGTAGTGTGCAAGCCCCCCGGGTGTTGACCTGAATGATTGGACTGACCAAGGACTATCGAGCAGGCGATGGGCCTTAACAGATCCACGAAATAGCCCGTTCCCATGAACCCACCTCATCTTACAGCAAACAGTCTCTAACACACATCCCCCCCCACTTCTCCCTTTCCCACCCAGAGCTTCCTCTCTCCGCTCAGAAGCAGCAACTTGGTGGTCCCTCCCCGAGGAAGGCTGCTAACCCTGAGGTGGGCAGTGCAACCCACCCACGGCTCCGAGGGGTAGCGATTTGGCCGCCTGCTCCCAAAGCCCCTCTTCCCCCGCCCCCCAGCTCTGCTCCCTCACAGCAGTCACCACCGCCCCTGCCACTCCCTGCTGTGAAGCTGTGCCCTGACCCCTTGTTGATTGTCGCCTTTTCTCCGAACTTGATCTCCTTTGAGTCCCTCTCACTCCGCGGTGTTTGTGACCCGGGTCCTGGAGTTGTGTGCTTCTGTAATAGCTCTGGAGAGCACTTTTAAAAAGTGATGAGTACTTTATTACTGGTTTTTGGAAGTCCCGGAAGCCATTCTGTTATTCTAGTATCTCAAGCCAGGGCCTCTAAATCTTTGATGTGATTTAAAACCAGAGGGACAGGGGGCTCAGGGAGTAGTTCCGGGTCACAGTTAATAATTACTGAGAATGGACAACACAAAAGTGAGTGAAGGGAGACGTCGGACAGTGTAAAATATGATAAAATAATAATTTATAAATTATCAAGAGTTCATGGGATGGGGAGCGGGGAGGGAGGAGGAAAAATAATGACTGAGAGACAGAGAGCCAATAAGGAATTGATTGATCGCCCAGGGCTCGGTGGTCAGAATATGAGGGGGCTTCAGAAAGTTCCACTCCACCCCCCCCAGCCCCCGCCCTGGCCCTCTAGAAGTCCCTCCATGTGGTTGATCACTGTCTTTGACCCCTGTGTGTGGCTGATTGTTGTCTGTGGCCCCTCTGTGTGGTGGAGCACTGTGTCTGTGACCCCTCTGTGTGGTTGATCACTCTCTGTGGCCCCTGCATGTGGTAGAGCTCTGTGTCTGTGGCCCTGTGTGTGAGCGATTACTGTGGCCCCTGCATGTGGTGAGTAGTGCTGTGTCTGTGGTCTCTGTGTGTGGTTGACCACAGTGGCCCCTGCGTGTGGTGGGGTGCTGTGACTGTGGCCCATGTGTAGTCAGTCACTGGCCCCTGCGTGTGGTGAGGCGGTGTCTTGCCAGAGGGAAGCTGACTGCCTCTCCTGTCTCGGCAGGAGGAATAAGCATGGCGTGTCTCGGAAGAAGATCGCCCAGATGCTGGAGCGCTACGAGTTCGACGTGTCACCCGCCCTCGTGATGAACGCTGTGGAGCCCTCGCACAAAAGCGCGCTGAGGCCGCCTCCTCCCGAGTGGAGACCGAGGTGGGGGGGCCCTCTAGGCTCACACAGCCAAACCGATGTCCCCAGGGATTATTGAGCGGGCTCTGCCCACTTGGCGCACGGGTCGCCTGTCCTTAAAGACAAGCAGGCAGGCAGACAGACAGACTTAGTGAGCCTGGCCTGAAGCCTAACTAGCCGCGACTAAAAGACCACATCGCCTCACAGAGGATGTGCCCAGCAAGTTGTTTACATTTTAAACTGTAAATAAAAATGATATCTCAACTGTATTTTAAATGGTTTTACAATCTTTTGTGGCGATACCCTTGTTTATTTTGAAGTCAGCAGACAAGTGGGTTTGAATTTCCAGCTCATTCTGACTGTTTAGTCGGTGCTGTGCAGCCGAGTGTATTCGCTCTGTGTAGTTCCTGCCTGAGTCTGGACCTCTGGGAAAGCTTCAGTGTTTTCTCCGGCTACTTTAATGGACGAACTGTTGGCTTGTAGTAGGTTACCGTAGGGGGCTGGAGTTCTCGCTGTACAGAGAAAAGGATGCTCTGGAGATTCGGTGTGTGTGTGTGACAAGACTGAGGGTGTGACCAGGCTGTCACGAGGTCCAGTGAGCATCCCCAGTAGATGGACACAGGTCGCTGCCTTCTCCCTCAAAGAGGGCCCTGGGAGAAGCTGGTGAAGACATGGAGTGGAAAGCATGACTTTTCCATGCACTCAGGGAAGCTCCCTCATGTAGGTCATGTACATGTCTATCACATAGTACATCCATGTCCTTGGCCGTCCTCCTTCCCCCTCTTCACTCCGTCTCTCCAGTTCTGGACGGGACGGGAGAGGGAGTCCCCTGTGGGCTTGGGAGACATCCCTGAGGGTCTTGAGCAGTTGACAAAGGAGCAGCTGCTTAATTACAAAGATCGTTTGTGGGAAGATGGAATCTGCCAGTGATGGCTTCTTTGTGGCATCCCATCTTTCTGTAAAGCCACATTCTTCCCTCAAAATCAGAAGAAAGCGACTTAAAAAGGCAGGCGTGGGATTCCCTGGTCCTGACACAGTCCCTGAGCCCTCCTGGGTGACCGGCCTCTCTCTGCAGCCTGAGGACAGGGACGCCACCGTCTGCCTGGAAAGGGGCCCTGAACTCATCCCTGCCTGGACTTCCTCTATGTCAGGAGGGACCACCAGTGAAGCACGTTTTAAAGAAGCAAACAGGGCAAAAGCCGTTCCTCACATGATGATGTCGCAGAGGTTTCGGAGAAGCCTGCCCATCCCGCAACCCTTCGTCTCTCTTCGGGTTTTCTTGTAAAACCTTTTGATCCTTCTAGCTATGAATTCTCTCCCCAACTCTTTGTGCTAATTTTGAAGCTCAGTCAGATGTAGAACGAGGCCCAGTTGTTGAAGACCTCTCAACAGGGTCTTCTGGAAGCTCTCCACAGCTCCGTGATGGGGAGGGCCAGTGGTTGAATTGAGCTGATAATTGAAAGGTCAGCAGTTCTAACCCATCAGTTGCTCCAGGGGAGAAAGATGAGGCTGTCTGCTCCCGTGAAGGTTGACAGCCTCAGAGACCCAATAGGGCAGTTCTACTCTGTCCTGCAGGGTGTCTGAGTGGGAATCCTGGTGTATATTTAGAGGACTGTGGTCTTTGTGCTGTGCTGTTCAGATCCCTCATACCCTGTGTTTTCCTGTTCTACACGTATGCACACTTGTCTGTCTGTTCCTCTTGACTAAATGCGACGACGTCAGACTAGGCTGCTGCGTGTGCGTACGTGTGCGTACTTGCATAGACATACACAGATCACCTCCACCCCTGCTTTCTCTATACCCTTTCGTTCCCAAGGAGCCCTTCTTGACACGTGGGCTTCCCTTCCTGCCCCTGTCTTGTGTTAGGGACAGTAGCCTATCTTGAAAATGACCCCAGAGGCCTTCACCTTGGACAGGGGCACAGCGGTTGCTGCTGGCCCTCTGTCTTCCTAAAGCCCCTTGAGGAGGGAAAGTGCCGCAAAGCCATAGCTCTGCAGATCAACTTTGCATTCACCAAATGCATTCGGAGGAAGCAAGAGATTCTCTTTGGGAGAGGAATTAAGAAGAGACCTGTCCATCCACTTTCCAGGTTTTAGTACAAGTTCTGCTTTTGAACTCACTATCCTTTTTTTTCTTTCTAAATCATTTTATTGGGGGCTCTTAGAGCGCTTACAGCATTCCATACATCAGTTGTTTCAAGCATATTTGTCCATATGTGCCCATCATCATTTTCTAAACATTTACTTTCTATTTGAGCTCTTGGTATCAGCTCCTCTTCTTCCTCTGCCTCTTACTCTTGCGACCCCGTGCTGACTTATAATTTATTATTGTTTTTATGTCTTACACTGACCGCTATTTCCCTTCACCCATGTTTCTATTTTCATCCCCCTGGGCGTGGGGGTAGATTATGCATTGATTATTGGGATCAGTTTCCTTTTTTTCCCCTCCTCATCCCTCCCTTCCTGGGGGTACCTGCCTCCCAATTCTGTTCCTAAGGGGTTTATCTGACCTGGGTCCCATGTGTCGTGAGCTCATATCTGTACCAGTGCATGTGCGCCAGTCTTGCCAGAACTGAAAGGCAGGACTGAGGTCATGACAGTGGAGGGTGAGGAAGCCTCAAAGAACCAGAGGAATATTGCGTGCTTCATCGGTGCTATACTGCACCCTGGTTGACTCATCCCTTCCTTGTGACCCTTCTGTGAAGAGATGTCCTATTGCCTGCAGATGGGTTTTGGGTCTCTGCTCCGGCCCCTCTCATTCTCAACAATGTTTTTGTTTGTTTGTTTTGGGTCTTCTGGTGTCTGTT